AAAAAAAAAAAAAAAAAAGCACAACGTGTGCTTGAAAACATTTTACATATTGCGTCTGTGTGAAATGTATTTATTGTAATTACGAGAGGGAAGACGCGCGAGCTTTTACAGACTCGAGTCGACCACCGTCTGCCTCTTCTTCCCAGCGCTGCGAAAAAAAAAAAAAAAAAAAAAAAAAAAAAAGGTCAACGCGGGACATTTAACATCACACGCTGTCGTATGTGTATAATGCTTACGTGCACGCAGGTATATAACAATAAGGAGGATGTATAGTTAGGGAAGCAACGAGTGTGGGCGAGGCGAAAGTGTATCCCCTTTGTCGTCGTAGTATGGGCTTGGAGAGGTAAGTATATACCTAATGGAGTTTCGCAAGGTGTTGCAACCACTATACGACACACATAGACGAGGTGACGAGGGGGCGGTCGACGAGCGTGCGCCAATCATTGGCTTTTCCCTTCCATAGTACATTGTATACCTGTATAATCTCTTTTTACGGGAGCTAAAGGGAGGTGTCTCCGATGGGTTTTACGGTGTAGGTATATACGTTGGCGCCTCGTGGGAACTCCCCAGGACTTGGACTCGTTGCTGCAAAACTTTCTATCTGAAGTGATGCTGAGGCCAAATCGACAAAATCTGTACAGATATAGGTATATATACACGAGTTCCTCTTTTGGAGCGTCGAAACGGCATGTGAGTAATGTTGCTTGTGCATATAAAATATTGTTTAGATGAAAAATCCAACAAGGCAATCGCTCGTGTGATTCAACAACAAACTTACCCAGATCCTCTTGAAAAAAAAAAGTCGCCCACGACCTCGTGAACGACTCTTTGTAGGTATACCCATAATATACGTACTGTAAGCAATAAGGGCGAAAAAGGATGAGATAGAACAAGAGTACAGGACACCGCGGGGGAGGATATGCAACATATTATAGCAATGTCGACGACCCCCTCGCAACTGCATCATCGTCGCGCTATATTATACTCTGCAATATGCATGCACACGCTTAATATATATACTGACCCGCGGAGCTATAGCATCGACGCCACAGTGTGCATTGTATATGTCTCGTGCGTGGGAATGCGCCCACATACTACTCCGCTTGCGCAATATATTGTATACACATAAATGCGCCTCCTCATCCTCTTCGCTGCCGTTGCTCGCCTGAATAAGGTTTACCCTATAATACACGCGCGCGCGAGACAGAATTTTATTACACTTTCGCGCTTCGTCGCCTCCATTTCCATCGCATTACTTTTGATTTTCTTTTTGAAGCTCCAGCGTTTCAGAGCACATACGAGTATTTGTTAATCAACCGTAAGTATAGGCGCCGATTAATACTATGTCCTGCGCGATCGACCGTACACTTCGGTGGGTACAGCTCCATGCATCGGGATGAGAGACTCTCGAGACAGAGCAGTATATTATACTGAACTAGTTTTAACAAAGACAGGCGTAAAAACGAATTTTTATAAATATATATATTTTTTTTTTTCTTTGCCAAAACGAACAATCCAACAACAAACCGTCGAGCAAACCGACTCGATATCGTCACATTATCTTTTCTCGCTTGGCAGAGTTTAAGTATATATACCAACTCACCCGTGTTTGGAGGAAACTCCAATTTCCAAATCAAGATCACGTACACCGCCAACTGTAGGTATATGTATATACTCGCATTGCACGATTCGGTGATACCTATTCGAAAGTTGCGTTGGGCTCGGAGTTGTAGGTATATGCATTAAATATCCAGAGCGAGGACACTAATACTTTTTCTTCTACGATCTACATAGATTACCAGCAGATACATATACATATACGTGTATCATGGACCCACTCACATGATAGATTAGACATACACAAGAAAACTCTGTGATGAACGAAAGTTGACAGAAAGTGAAACTAAGTATAGTAATGTTATTCTATGTTCTGGTCGAGTATGGAAAATACCATCCCGTTGGATTTCACGCGATAACAGGATATATTCTGGGTATTAATTTGACTGTTACACATCATGGTAAAAAAATAAATAAATAACAATTAATGCGAGCTCCAACTCATAGTAATCACAGTGTACACGAATACACACCCTACACGCGGACCCTTTATTAACGTCCAAAATACACGTGTTAACGCTATATTAATGATAAATAATAAATTATAGTCTTTTGTATGGATAAGTTGTATTTCGTTGCTTTGTAATTTAATTATAACATTATAATATATAAATGTGTTTTGTTACAGGACGTGATGAGCGAGTACGAGCGGATCAAGCGTTCGTGCTTGAAACGCGGCGAACTCTGGGAGGATCCGAATTTCCCGGCGACCCAAGCGTCGGTTTTTTACCATCAAACGCCGCCCTTTCAGTTCCAATGGAAGAGACCAAGGGTAAGTTTTGCATTTTCCTTGCTCCCATTCATTCATCTAATTATACGATATATACTATCAGAGTGACATAATAGGCACGCGCCCAATTTTTGCCTTCCGATCGGTAATTATTTTGATAACTGATCGGTAACTCTCGTATGTACATTGTACCTAAAAAACCATCAGCGAGAAACACGATTTTAACTCTGCAACTATTGGGAAGATCATCCCCCCTCGTCTCGTCATCCACACCCACACGCAACTATACCGAATAAACTAAACCGGAGTCCCAATCGGTACTTTGTAACGGATCTCTTTCTCCGATATTTTAGTATAACGTATGCGCATATATACGTTTTTCGGTGCTCAGTTTGACCGGTACATAATATATTATTATATCATACGTTACGAGGTCGCGTTACAAATTGCAAATCCAATAACCCTGTATACACGTTTACCAGATGTAGTATGTATATGCTCTTCCTTCACCATCCCATTGTTCGCGGTCTCGGGCTGCGTGGGTGTATGGGAAGTCATATATTTACGGGGAGAGGGCAACAAGGTGTTTCGAATTTTCAACGGTCGAGCGTACCGTTAAGCCCCTACAAGTGCCTTGGGTGTGATTACATTAAAGCTATGTATGCCCAAGTGTACTATGTATCATCGAGCTTGGCAGTCGCGCCGAGATGTTACCTTCCGATGTTTCGCGTTTTGGAAAAACCTCATGGCATCGAGTTTTGAATTATCATCCATACTTGCGCTCGAATGAACGACGATCAGTGGAAATATCTGACCATACGATGCTCAAACAGTTGGGTCATTTGCATTCAATGAAACGTCGGGGGAGTAAATTACTACGGTTGGTGGGAGGATTTTTATTTTTTTATGGAAAAGCACTTCTTTGGCTCCATTGATTATTCAAAAAAAAAAAAAAAAGAAAAATAATAATTAAAATAAAATTGGTTACTCCGACTTATCCATATTATACAGAAGAAAAGACGCTAAACTCGTATGAAGAATAACTAAAGCTCGGCTAAAAAAGAAAAATAAAAATTGATCGGTAAATTAAACAGCCACCCTCCATTGTCACATATTAGCGACAATTCAACTATTTCCAATGAAAGTACTGCTTGAATTAAAAAATATTATTGCACGAAGCCATTTGCTGATGGATTTCTTTGATTTGCAGGAACTGTGCAGTCGACCGATTTTCATAAGCGACACGCCGACACAGTTTGACGTTATTCCCGGAAAATTGGGTGAGTTCTTTCTTCATAAGTATATTATATATTATTATCGTCATCTCCTACGATCATGTGTTATTTACTGCAGCGATGCAAACGTGCCATAATTATTAATTAATCGTGCAAACTGGCGTCCGTGGCTTCGAAGAAATGTTGTCCATAATATAAATTTTTTTTTTTTCGAGCAATTACCGAATAGTTAAAAAGAAGTTGTTAATATAACTTTCGTGTGAAGAGGATGTGCGAATTTTCAAGGCTAGCGTAATTTTATCATTTTTTTTTTTTTAATTTGTTGAAAAAAAAAAAAAAAATGACAAACCAAGCTGGCGTGTTGGCTACAAAGAGAATAGAGTGCGATTGTGCATCGGAGCGAACTCTGTGTTTCCGGCGACTTCGCGACGAGATCGGCTTCACTACTAACCGACGGTGATTACAGAATCGGTCCGAGCGTGAAAAAAAAAAAAAATAATAAAAATAAAATAAAATACACACGCGACGGATGCAGGTAATTTTTTCCTCCAGGAGTATGGAATAGGTGCAGTAACAAAGAGTCGTTAAGACCAGAGGGGGAAGAAAAATACCGCAAATTTTTTCAAGAGCTAGACAAGTCCGTCGTTTTGGTATTGCGTGTGTCTAAGTATATAATATATTAATCTTATTTTTCCATAAAAAAAAAAAAAAGGAAAAAACTGCCAAGTCTCCCTCGAGCATCAATTAATGATGGAAAAAATACAACAGTTTCCTCTCTCCCCTTTTCCCGATGGAGCCGAGTTCCATACACAGCGTGTCCATAATCATTTTCCAATTACCTGGAAAATCCGGGGCTTTTCGTTTTATTTGCCTATATTCAATTTTCCCTCGTTACCCATGTATTATTATTGTTATTACTCTCTTAACCCAATCATCGACGAGAGAGATAGTTATTCAACCTGTACACAGTGCAAGCTTGGTTTTCAGTTGTGTTGGTAAACGAACGGTGCAAAGGAGGGATGATGACGAATAGCTTTCAGCCTCTGCTTTTTTTCCACGCACGGACGACGTGCAATTATACCCATACGAGGATTAGGTATACATATATACATATTCACGGAGGATACGCAATTGAAGGGATGAGTCTGTATATTTAAGTTCTCTGCTGCTCCTCGTAACTATACCTATAACACAGTTACTTTGGCCGCGCCTGTGATTTTATGCACATAACGTCTCAAAACAGGATTGAAATAGAATCATAGATCATACCTGCACTTGTCGACTGTTGTTGTTTATAAATAAATAGAGAGTCGATGAATCATTGGGCGTATAATGTGTATTGGTTGTCTTGGGATACCTTCTAAGTCCAATGGGTCAACACAAATAAACCATATACCCATCGCGTACATATGTTTCAAACACGTTGACGATTTAAAATCATCGGAAATATTGCCCGTTCACCAATAATCCGTCAACCTTAGAGAACGTATTGGCTCATAAAGAACTGCCTACAAGCACTTAAGTTTTTTTTTTTTTTTTTTTTTAATTCACACATCGTCATGAAAGCACTTTGATCCAACGCCGTCCGTTACATTCACGAGCTCGTAGTCGTAAATATCGTGATTTTTATCTAGACGCGAGAAGTTGAGGAACAGATGAGACGGAGCTACACTTGTGTGAACTCGAGGGTTTAAATTGCGCATCAGAGAGAGGGACGACGTGAGCCTAGACGAGAGAGGTGGATGTCACGTGTGCGGAAGGTCGAGGGCGATTCGTTGGATGAGGCTTGGAATATGCTGTACATAATGTTATATGTTTGTCATTTAAATACTGCGAGGTAGGAAGTGCTCGTCACCCCTTAGCCTTTTCAACCTTTGTATAAATGTATAGAGTAAGTTGTAAAATCGGGAGAAGAAGAAAAAACTCTGACACCTTCGAGGAGCCTCGAAAGAAAGGAAACCCAAGGAAGGATCGTCCCGGGCATGAACCGCGAAGCGGAAGTCGAGGGAGGAGAGTCCCCGGGAGAGAAATTAAAGGTCAAGTTCTCTCGGGGAGCGGAAAGAACAGCACCCCCCCAGCCCCGTATACTCGAGGCTCGCGTGATCGTCGCGCGGAGCATCAGATTTTTATCTCTTGCTCCGACTCATGATGCTCTTATCTTCTTTCTCGATTTTTTTTTCTTTTTTTTTTTTTTTTTTTCTTTGCCAAAACGAACAATCCAACAACAAACCGTCGAGCAAACCGACTCGATATCGTCACATTATCTTTTCTCGCTTGGCAGAGTTTAAGTATATATACCAACTCACCCGTGTTTGGAGGAAACTCCAATTTCCAAATCAAGATCACGTACACCGNCGTCGGAGAGTTCATTTTTTTTTTTTTTTTTTTTTTTTTTTTCATCCAATTTTTCTTTTCTTGAGCACTCGCGCCGATGAAGAGATTGCACTGATGGTAGGTCGCGTTACAAATTGCAAATCCAATAACCTTTCATCCAATTTTTCTTTTCTTGAGCACTCGCGCCGATGAAGAGATTGCACTGATGGTGACGGGCGGAGCTTCGCTCCTCGGGAGGGGATGCGCCTCGAGAGATGTTTATCGCGCGGAAAATAAAGAGGCACTCCTTTTATCTTTTTCTCGTTGCATTTTTTAAATTGACTTTTCGGTGAGCTTAAAGATGTTTGCAAAAAAAAAAAAAAAAAAAAACGATCAACGCATCGGCTGATATACCATGTAAACTATATTTACCGTAAGCTTCATCTGTAATTCATACATGACTCAAAATGGCCCCCACGTGCCATCGGTAATAATACCATGGAAAGGCCAAACGCGTCACGTTGGAAAAAAAGGAGAACGGCGTCTGTGTCCCTTTTATTTTTCGTTTCCTTTGTCCTTAAACACTGCTGCTATCTGGATCAGTGTATAAATAGGTATAGGTATATATATATCGCAGTTGGGAGCGATATCTCGCGCCTCGAGGAGAAATAAAGAGACTTAGATTCACGGCGTCGCGAAATATCTCTGTTTCTCTCTTTGGCGAGCTGCACGAAACCCTCGTGTGTGTACACGATTTATATATATATATATATATATATGTGCTGCGGCAATAAGTGACCTTTCGGGAACGTGGGAGAGACAGATTCCTCCTCGCTGCAGTTGTAGGGTACACATATACGCTTGAGAGATAAAGAAAATCACCGCGAGCTCGCCCTCCCTATATATATATAT